AAAAATATTTTGAAAATTTTCTATATTATTAAATCTTCTAGAAATATTCCAAATATTTTTATTTTCCAACTGAAGTAAAGACAAAATTTTGATAATTTACTTGCTTTTCATTGCTTGGAAATTGAATAGATCTTTTTTAAAGAGATGATTTGATTACAGTTTGTACTATTTCATATTTTTCAATAACGACAACTGCAAATTCTAAAACTCGATATTCTATCATAATTTCTATTATAGTACATTTTTTAATGACATTAGCTGCAAATTCTAAAACTTACTGTTGCATTATAGTTGCTATTATAATATATATTTTAATGACAGCAACTGTAAATTCTAAAATATACTGTACATTTCAGGGCTTTTACCCACGTAACAGTTAACAGATATTGACCAATACGAGGTCACGAATAATAACATTGACTACGCCTGTATAAACAAATTCGCATTCGAGAGGCTTCAATAGTACCAATCCAGAGCAGCGAGATTCGAACCGTTGCATTCTAGGGCACCGAAACTTGTGTCGATGCAATTCAGACTAATGAGATTTGAATCAATTCAGTTGAAAATTAGAAAGAACGCTATTCTAAATAGCTTATGACTCTTCATGAATTCATTTCAAGCATTACCGAATAAAATTTAATGAAAATAACTCTAAACAAAGTTCAATAAATATTTTAACAAATATATATGTTTATTTAATGTATCTAACAACCAAATATCTATTATAACATATTACTTGTATCGCATTAATTGAATGAAGTTACCTAATCACATCAACCGGGACATTATTATTATTTTAGTTTTTGCGAAAATAAGAACCATGTTCTCATCGATCTAAGACTACATTAAAAATCAGAGTACATTAACACGGCTGAAGTTACATATTTAATACATACGATTTCGTTTAGAAAAGTCTTACATTTTTCATGAATTTTCATTGGAAATGTTACATTTTTCTATTCTTTTTTTGGGATTAAGACATTCATACACTGTTTAAAATTCGTTTACACTTTTAAGCCCTGTTACTTCGCCATCTGAGCTCCCTCTGCAGAAGTCACAAGCGAAACATTTAATACTCGTCGGTAAATGTAGAATCTTATTTCTTAAAATTTTTCGATGATACAACAGATATGTGGACGGTCAAGTGTGCCGAGTGTCCGTTTTTACATGCGCTGAAACGTTTTGAGAAGAACATTTTTCTATGAATTTCAATTATCCACTCCCTCAGTCCGACTATATGCAATTCGTACTACTTACAGTGAAACAACAGTTAGAACTAGCTACATCTCCGCTATTCAAGTTCGATAAATTTAACCCTCGTTTCGCTGATTGTAGAAGAAGATTAACGAAATAACAAAAATTTTAATGAATTTTATTTATTTAAATAATAAGTTTCAATAAATTTAAGAATTTAATATTCTCGTACTTTGAAGGAAAACAAAATTTGGCGCAAACGTGAACTTAACGTAAAATACAAGCTAAATATAAAAATGATTTATTATACAAACATTATTAATGAAATTAAGCTGTATTTAAGAAATGCATTCTTATGTTAAATTTATGTCGATATTTTCCATGAAATGTTGCAGAGTTATTGAGATTAATTTTTTAAGCTCTGCGTCCTCGTCAACTTTTCATTGAACTTACTGACTTACAATAAATTAAAATAAAAAATTTTATATACAAAATTGACAATTGGTAAATTGATCGATCAGATGGTTTAAGGTATTTAAATTATTGAATTTTCAACTTTACTTCGTTACGAAAAAGGGTTGATCAACTTTAGACTACCAATATTTCCGCAAATGCAGGTTTGTAGGAATTATTTTATAAAAATTATCCTCCAGAGTAGCTACTCGATAATAAACTATTTTAAAAACGAATTGAATAATTTTCATTCGAATAATAATTCCAAAATAAATTATTAAATCCCGTTACTCAGAATAAGTTATTGATCCATGGTAGTGGTCTCTACTTCCACTGTCAAAGTAACTTAAGAAACCCTTAGCTATCACTCATTGATTTTTAACAAATTATGAAATAAGCATCAACAAAGAAAGTGTTATGGTTTGAATAAAAGAAAAATCTAATTGCAGCGTCTTTAAATTGCCATTATCCTGAATTTTAAAGGTAGAACTACCGTATTTGTCAAAACGGCTCGTATCAGTTTTCTTATTTTGCAATCATTGACATCATAAAAATATTGAATATTCGAAACGATTTAAAAAATAATTTTACTTGAATAATACGAAGAAACCGAAAAAATCTATTGTTACAATTTTTATAAAAAGTATGCATTAATTATATCAAACGCTCAGTAGTTTTAGGGTTAAATCAATTTTAAATCATTGTGCTTACCAGAAACGCATAGTAAATAATCTGTTTATCAGTAAACCAACCTATTAGCTATTGCTCATAAAGGAAGCGTCAAAACCATCAAAATGAAGTACAAAATCGACTCCATTTTCTTCGGAAATCAACTTAATCACGAATACTTAACCCCGTTTAATGTTTCACAAGGAACTGAATCGTTGCACCGTGATATATAATTTCACGATCGGAAAACTTCACGGAAACGGTACTTTCCCGGAGGAAAGCGGGTGAAATTATATTCGATGGAGTTGCGCAGGGGGCAACCAGCAAGGTTTTCCAATCGGTTCTGTTCGCGTCCGTGCAAATAGTTCATCCATGTCGTGCGCGATTGGCCGGAATGATCGGCCGACGTGAACGATCCACCGACGGATAGATATCGAATTATTTCATAAATACGCACACACACGCCGCGTGGGTGGCCGATTTCGCAATTGAACTGCGCAGTTGTAACGTATCATTCGGTACGTTACGTATACTGCGGCAGAACGGGCCTCCAAAACTTACACAATCCAATCTTCTTTAGTTTCCGATTAGCAGGATGGCCCGCCTATCGATCTATGTACACTGTTGTAACTCAGAAGGAGACGTTACAGCGAGTGGATCATCGATTTTAATAAAACTTCTTTTAATAAATCTGGAGGAAACATAAGTCGATCCATATTTGGCCATTTTGGTCAAAACTCGATATTTATAAAGATATTTAGTAGTTAAGTTTTCCATTTCAAGAGATACTTAACATTAACAGTACCGGGAACCGGTGAAATGATGGGATTTGTAATTCAGCGTTTTCTTTCGTTCATTTAACTTTATATCAATTCCTATATTGTTCAATTAATCAGTTTTCAATTTTTCACTTTCCTTTTCTTTTTGTTTTCACTGAAAAAATGTATCATCTAACTTGTTTACCTTTCTTTTGTAGCTATTTTACTGATAACGGTAGGACAAGCATCGGTACGGTTAGTGTTAGTTATTTTAAATTAATGTTTTCTGTTTTTTCCTTTTTCTATTTTATTCTAATGTAATGTTCTCCACTTATATTATTATTTACAATGTTTGGGATGATAGATTTCGTAGAAGCATGGAAAAGTATCTCTCGAAATCAAAAGAACTAAATGTTAAATATTTTTATAAATATCGAGTTTTTACCAAAATGGCCGAAAATAAGTTGGCTTATTTTTACTCTAGATTCATTAAAACAAGTTTTATAAAAATCAATGAACCATTTACTGTAATGTTTTCTTGTCAGAAGTCACTGACCATATTATTCACGGCGAAAAAAATATATATTTAGCAACGAACATAATTCTGCAGACTATACAGAATTTTGTTTAAAATAGTAAGAGTCTGCTTGGATTTCGGACCTTTAGACTACCAACGGGGTAATACGTCCCAGATCGTTCCGGGGCAAACAAGCCGTTTGAATTGCATCGTTGTCTATTCCAATGCTACTTTGGAGTCTATTTTATAAAGTAAATCGATTATTTGATTTAGAGATTAGAATTCTTCCACCGCTTGAGCGTTTTGTTACAGTTCACGCCTAGTTATTCATTTCACCTTGTTTAGTTCCTAAGTGAAACCAGAAAATTTCAGTAATTTAAGGGTTGAAGGAAGTTTAAAGATTAATTTTACCTCATGATTATTTTATGTAGGTACTTCTTAAAAGATAATAAAGGTATCTTAATACGCAGACAATTAAGTTATTAAATTCTAATATTTACGTAATAAAAGATAAAATATTAAACTTGTAAGAAGTTTAGCTTGCCTCGTAATGTCCTATAAATCACCTATACGGTTTCTAATAGCCCAATTATCTTTCACTGAATGTGGCACTAAAATGGTCACAAAATAGTAGAACAGAATTATAGAGAACCATAAACGTTATACAGTGAATCAAATGAAATAACTGTACTGTACTAGAGTGATTCTTTTCATATAAATTGATTGACATTTCACAAAAGCTGAATTCATCAACTGAACGAATTGAATGCACCGAATAAATGACTGGCAATCCCCTGTATATATTCAATTGTATTCAAAAGAGAATTTTTCGTAAATGTATCTCGTCGTATTATGAAATTTGTAAAGATCGTTTTCAAAAAACCGAAACGTGATCAATATGGTCCGTTCTCGACTGATTTCGTACGCTCGGTGCGAATCAGCCGAGTATATCTTCTCCGGGGTGTTGTGAAATTTCCACGCATGATATCTTACATTACGCCCTCCGTGTTTGGCACGCGACTTTGTTTTTTCTGTGTGTTGGTTTCTATTTTTGGTTTCAATTTCATAATGCGGTAGATCAGCGTCCGCTGGCATCGAGTCTTTTGATTTTCGACAGACTTTTGAAATCTACGTTAACAGGTATAAAAAAATTACAAATTACTGAATGAAACCCGTTAACCTTTCCAATATTGTATATCCTGTTCCCCGTTATTTCTATCAGCTTCTTATTTTTAAATGGAAATAAACACTTTGTTCGATTATGTTTTGTTTATTTATTTGATTGCATTTAACTTAAATCGCTGAAGACAAATAAGAAATGCGATTATGCTCGTACTTTGAGGAATCTCTCTGGTGTAAGTAGTTCTAATTACTAACAGAAGTTTGCTCTCACGCTGCCTACGAGTTACGCCGTCTTCAATCTTAGAAGAATATACCTTTCCTTTCGAGGACTAATCCAAGAGTTTCTACAAATACCTTTCTCTATATACGTTTGTAATTAAAATCTTCTTAACAATTAGGTACTAGGAAATACAGTTACGAAGATAAATCGAACGCTTAAGCACAGTGATCATCGATTTTCTAGAAAAAAACTATGGAAACTGAAATTGTCTGTACTCGACTATATTTATGGCGTAATTTTTCAATTTTCGTTTGAAACATCAATTTTAAATTTTCTTAATTAACTTTAATCAAGTTTCAATTACAAAGTTCTTTTCCTTACTGAACATTATTGATTAAGAAGTGATATAGATGAACGAGTAACGAAAGATCACCTCTTTCTAACCAGAAAATATTTTTTTTCAAACTTTTCTCCAAGGTCTCCAAGAGTTTACATTACAAGATTCCCTATTAACTGTGTAAAATGCAAAAATATACTCAATGTAAAGTCAAGTGAAGCTTTCCATTTATTTCGAACCTCTTAAAACTCTCGAATTTCTCCATTAATTTTTCGTTCAGCTAATATATCTCTAAACGTACGATTTCGCGTAAAGATACGGAGTCCAGCGACTCATTTTCCAATTTATCGGCACCAACTTTGCTCTACTGACTCCACTGACTTCGTGGGTTGCAAGAATAATATGTCCAAAGATAGCGGAAAATCCGTTGGACTACAGTAGACTACACAGATGCGTTAGATAATGATGAAATGTAACGTTTGTAGTTACAATCATTCATTATCACATTAAAAATTTGTGATCACGCTTCGGTTACATACTGGTCCTCGAGGTGTATTCAAGTTCTGGTGAAATCGTGTTCGCTGAATGCAAGTATATTCATTGATTCAATAAAATGTCATCAAAGAGGAGAATCCATTGTGATCAGAAAATTATCTAATTTACTGCATAATGCAATCATCTATTTTTCCGTTCAATATTCGAATAATTAAACTGGATTCGAGTAAATTACACATGATGACTCAATACATATTATACATAGGAAAATGACTTGAGGAAGTACAGATTAAAATATTCTGTGGAGAAGTACACACGTAGACACAAATTTCTCTGATAAAATACGGATTACTTTAGTACACGTAAAAAATGTACGCAATTTTATAACATATGACTTCCGGATGGATGATTTCAGAGGAAATTGAGAGTTCCTGATGTTATTAATTCCGAGAAGTACTGAATGCTTCAAACTCGCAAATCTTATTTGTATCTTCGTTTAGTATGAAATAGAGTATCTCCCTTCGATTCGCGTGGAGAAAGATAGCAAACCGAATCATGAATGACGAAACTAGCAACATAATTGCGTTCTTCCATGCGTTCGATACGCGAAAACGTGTTCCCTTACATCTTGAACTCCTTGTACCAAACTTTTATGCACATCATCGATATGTTCGTTTTTTCATGGTAAAATGTTGCGAAAGTGACGAGTAGTAAGCATTTTCATGAGCAAGTGCACTGATATCAGTTAAAATGTGTTCATGACGTTAATGGCAAGTGATTTTGCGCCTCTAACACTAAAATGTCTATTCTTTTCATTTATCTTAAGGAAGGGAAGAAAAAGAAAATTTTGCAAAAATAAAGTAAAGAGGATTTTGTCACTCTATAATACATTTTAAATATAATATGAAGGTAATTGTCATACATTAACCAGCAATAAAAAACATTATACATTAAATTGACTTTGACTAGCGTGCAACTGAGCGTGACTGAATGCAAATAATATAATAACTAATTAATAGATTTTATTGATAAATAATAAATGTTAATAAATGAAACGACGTTTAAGATAAAAACGAGATTTGAATTCTGTGTTGTAAAATCATTTGTGTTTTAAACATTTTATAACAGCTCATTCGTGTATTTTATATCAAAAACGTTTTTCTAATTTCTGGCAATAACTTTGAAGGAAGATTTGAAGAAGAATTCATTACATTTTCTTCGCAAAAATTAAAAATATTATTAGTAAATATCAAAGATATATAATCAATTACTTAACAAAGATCTTCATTGCTATTAAAACATTTTGAACACCAGTTATATTTTAAGTAAATAGTACTCAACCATGTATCTTATTTATTAAGCTCTTTGTTTCAATGAATTATTATCTGTAATATTTATTCTAATGAAAATGTTACATACTAAAAAGAAATTTAGGTTAAGTTTATTAACAGCACTACTTATCTGTTGAACCTCGCCCTCGTATACCTCTTCTTCTTCATTTTAATTTCAATTGTTTATTAAATGTAGTTCATTTTATGCTGTTTTATTGTACTATATTATTGTATTATACGTGATTTTTATATGTTTCTGTTGATTCATTATCAGTTTCCTGTTGTTAGATTCAACACATGCATTGAAAACATTATTATCGTATTATCAAATTAAATTCTCCACGGGCAAAGGAACAATTTTGTTGAATATAATCGGCGCTAAAATGATTAAAAAAGAACTGTTTTAAAAATCGAAATTGTGCAAACTTATGCACATCGAATCTCTTCAGAAAATCGTGCGATGAATGATGCTTCAGTGGGTGTCCCGAATATCACGGAGTATAACTTGAGCAATTTATCTGCATTATGCAACGATCTGTCCAGAAATATTTTCATTATCTTCACTTGAATTTTCCAGTGAATTTTTTCAATTATTCAGATACCATATAGGGTGATTCAGAAAATTAATTTCAAAGGATTTCAAGCATTTCCAATAACGTTAATGATTTTTTTGCACCACTAAATTGGATTTAGTAAATCCACAACGTTTTTGAAGATCAAAACTTCCTCTCTACAGTGATCTCCTAAAATGATTAAAGTTCAAGAAATTCGAAAATTTTCAAGTTAATTAAATGTAATTTTAAAGTTTCATAACTTAACAAATTTTTGTCTTTTTCTAGAGATGCAATCCCAAAGACGTTTAAATTCTTAAAACTTATGAGGAGAAAAGCATTTTCATTTTTCGATTTCATGATCGGAAAACATTTTTTAAAATAACAAATTCGTAAAGGTAGAAGCATAACGATTTCACAGGTTATATTTCATACGTTGATCGCCACGTTGCATTATATAGAATGTATATGGCGACATGTAAATGCAAGAAGGTTAAGAGAAGAACTTTTGCAAACAATCTTGACTTTTCAGTTTCTGTTTCCTTAGGAAAATTGCTTTAATCGTATAAATAATTTGATGAGTACCAATTGGGCGGTCGACGCGTTAGAATGATCTGAGATGGATTGTCGTATATCCTTTTCTCACAAACTTTTACTAGTTCAAAGTGCTCATAATTATCTATGAAACGTCCAAATGTTTTCGTGGGCCACTGATTGTGGCAAAGGCGCTGCCTTGTCGAAACGATAGAAACAAAAATGTCAAAACAATCGAATTGCGATATGATTTATCAAGCGTGTCGAGCCACGCCGTCGTCGGCAGAGCAAAGAAAACGTTTTGCCGCGCCGATAACGCGAAAAGAGGGTGTAGTTGCGAACGTCAGCGGGCTGTTAAGTGGGGAGGCTGGTCCTCTGGCGACGAATATATACGCGCACCGAACGGTAGCCACTTACAGTTCCAAGTAGAACGAGAAGAAGAAAGATCAACCGGTGGCTTGCATTTGTTACGAGCACGGTGCAGTTCCCTACGCAAGAATCATTACATTTTCGTATTTATCTCTACTCGAGGGCCTGGGAACAAGTTTTTTCCAATTGGAAATTTTAATTGGAAGACATATTGTGACGAGATGTGTCTTTCCGCAAACATGATGTCCTGGATGTTTATATTGTCCCTCTCATTTCTTTACTGGTCTACCACTGTCTTCGCGCATCCTGGTTATGGAAGGTAATTGTCTGATTTTAATTTTCACTAGTAGATTACGAATACTCAGGTAGAAATAAATTTTTTTCTTTTGCTAGAAAGGATTTTTATTCAGAAAGAAGATTATATCTACCGTTAATCTTGTGAAATTTCGAAGCTTACGAGAAATAATTTTTTTCCAGTTTAGTTGTTTGAAAATTTATTCATAATTTGTAAATATATCGCTTTTTAATCGCTAAGTAATATAATTCGTGGGGTTTGTTTAAGATTATATTGTGTAGGAGAAGAGGTCGGTATGATTTAGGGAAAAAATATTTCAAGTACTACTTAAAATACAAGAGGCCATATTGTTCAAGTAAAATATTTTAATATTTCTATAGAAGCATAGTATAATATTGTGATTTTATTAATAATCTGAGGTGCAATATAAGCACAATAGTAAGTCTTTAAACTGTGAATAATATGAATGATTAAATATCTTTGAGAGATCATTCTTATAAAAAGCTTTTGATGGAAAAAATTGGACTTTAATTTCGTGCGTCATAAAAATTGTAGATTTTATTTGTTTATTATAGGTATAAACTCACGAGAAGTAATAGAATAAGAATCTTAATAGTGGTTTTATTTAATTTTCTCTCTGATTTGGTTTTTCCGAAATTCTTAAGGAGTTTAATTTAAAATTTATATTTCAAAGGATTGGGGTGTGTGTTACATTTAATTATATGTTCTTTACAGACTCACAAATATTGAAGAACAGAATGGAGCGCGACATACTTTGGTGAATTTAGCGAAAGCAGAGGATAATGACATTGTGGGGAAATTGAACGAAGAAGTACCAGGGATGTTCGTAGAGTGAGTACATATTTTTTAGTAATATAATTTAGAGAAACATTTTATAAAAATTGAAAAATGCCAATAGATTGTTTAAATTTATAAATAAATTTTCATGTGAAACTGATATAATAGCATTTTGCGATACTATTGTATTTTCCCTTAAATTTTATCTGAATATTCGTCAAAATAAATTTGGTTACCTAGACAAAAAAGCAGAGAACAGTACTAACAATTTCTTTGCAAACTAAAGGTTTAACTTAAGCATCTAACAAATTTTTATAATCTTTTTTAAAAATGCTTTAAAGTCTAAGCAGTGAACTAATACGTTTTTCATACAAGATTATTTATCCTTTACAAAATTCATAAAATTATAGGACTTAGATAGTAAGAAGAAGTGAAAAAGAATTATCGAACTGATCCCAGAAACTCCCTTTTATGAATACAATATTTAACAGTGCAATTCAATAATTGCAATCAAATCAACGAAAAAAATTACAACTCAAATGTTGCATTAACTGGTTGATCTGGTCAAATGAAATTAATGTTTCTTGCAATATTTATCAAAGAATTTTTTTTATTGAAATAGTAGAGAAAAATATGATGGAATCTCATTAGAAATTTCCATGAAGTACCACCCTGAAATTCCATTAAGATTTCTTAATTGAAACTATTTAAGGGTAGATGTGATTATTTAACAAATCACGTGTTACAGACGACATAAACGATTATCCGACCAGAGGCGTGCAGAATTAGAAACGATAAGGCGTCTCAAAAAAATGACCGAGCAATTGGTAACTGGATCGCGAGGAAGTCGACAATTGGATGTGTCCAAACTGTAAGTAAAAATGCAGTCTTCTAGATCTATGGTGAAACAACGGAGAAAGTCCTTTTTACTAATTACATGTTTTCTATTAACAGTGGCCGAAGGAAACGAGCGGTGTTCGAAATGAACATGAAGAATTTACGAAAACTCTTCAAATTGTCGGGGCAACTCGGTTATAAGGGAAATGCGGCTTTTCCTGTTGTTAGGTATGAATTTATTAATTTACTTAATTATTTTACAAGTATAATGTTGCACAGATTTAATAATGTAATATAGATAGCATTCTTACATTACAAAAAAACGGGTAGCTTCAGTGTAGAAGAAACAAAGAATTAACAAAAATTATGAGAGAAGTGCAATTACACTTGCAGATGGTTAAAACAATATTTATACGCATTATTTTCTGTAAATATAGTTACTGCCGAATAAATCACGCGGTATAAAAATATTTAGAAACTTACTATTTTCTGATACGCATTCGAAACTAAGATACAGTGACGCAAAAGTGTTTAGTACGGATTAATAAATTTTCTCCTTGACCTTTAGCTTGTTAATCCCCTTAATTAATGAAGTATATGTCTACTGTGATCATGATTTTCGTAAAATAATCTATGAAAATGTCAGTTTACGTAATCGTTCACAATCTACACAAGATAATGTAATCTCATAGAAGTTTTGACGGTGCATGGATCATTTTTGTTTACTTTTTCTGTCTAACACTTTCGGATGTTGCTCACGCTATTAGCTATTTAAATTAGTGTATGAACGAAACTAGATTTCTTTTATAATTTACAGGGCAGTTAATTACTTTTTCCACTAATTAAAGAATAATTGTACGTAAATTTCGGTAACAGCATAATTTGATTTTTTTGGCAAATTTTGTTCCCAATTTTCGATTCACATAGTTTATCATGTCATTTAAGTGTATGCTACGAATTAAAAGTACGGATTTAATATTAATAAAAGTGAATTAGTCTTCCATTAGTCCAATCTCATCCTTCGATCAGTAATGTATTGTTAATAAATTCTATACGTCAGTGATATTCAAAATAATTTTTGATTATTTCATATTAAAATAACATTTCAATTGACATTCTTTATCGTTTCAAAAATTTCATTATCCAATTAAATATAACTATCAGTTTCGTAGTGCGTTTAAAAACCCAGACTCGAAATATTAAACATTTTTCTCGACCACGTGTTTCTGATAACTGAAACGGTTGATACAAGCAACACGAAAATTTCATTATCAGCAAAATTGACTTATCGTGTTGCGTTCAAAAAAGTACTACATTCGAAATGTAAAAGATCTTTTTCGAGTAAGTCGATTTCTTCTTCGCGTAGGAGAATAAAGTGAGACGTAGATTAAGATGAATGGGGAACTTTCGTCGCCGATTAAAGTGGTCACGTGTCATCGATGACGCAGCGGTCAATCGAAGTACGTAAATTCTTGGTCGTGAATCGCTGACTCGAACGATCCGTCTCGATCCTAAAGAACTCATGGTGATCTAGTCCCTCCTCCAACCCCTCCATTCCACACGCTTTTTCCTTGATTTATTTCTCCGCATCTCTTTTTCTATTCGACCGATAAGATCATTGGAAAAAACACAAAATTCGCGACGCGATACGAGTGCACGGGTTACACACGCGACAGAGAATCGCGGACGTGATGTAAGACGGCCATAATGTTAATCCAGATAAAATCCTTGTCGGGCCGGCGCCCGCGACGAACTCGTCGCATCTTATCTTGCTCTGACTGTGTCGCAATTATTTCTGATCCGCATCAGAAATAATTCGACGATAGTCGGACGCAAATCTAATTAAGATACGGACCGAGATGGCACGCGAAGTGTTTAACACTAAGGTTCACAGAACTCGTCAATTTAATGGACATTGAATTTTTTAAATTTGGTAAAGATTTACATCGATTCTGACTGATAAAATTATAGGAATATGGATTCTAATTCTCTCTTTTCCAAGCTCTAATTTTTAAAATCTATATAGACGAACATTTATTTTTCTAGGAAGTGTATTACAAGTATCCGTAAATCTAGCTAACACATTGACGATCGCGTTTTTTTCACAAACGTATATTATCCATTTCAAATTGAAACTCTCATACAGCATAGAAGATGTTCTCAACACTAGATAACGATTTGGTAGCAATGATTCTTTATTTTTTATAACTGGATTATAGAGAAACTAAGAGACAAAGAACAAAAAGCTAAAGAAGTCAAAAGACAACAACATGTTGTCAAGAGAAATAAGAGATCTCCACCATTGGTTGATAATGTGTAAAGACTGATATTTTCTGTTTTTTGATCGTGCGATTCACCCTCTGGCTTCCTTCTCGACCGTTGACGCTAGGACTACCGAGTATTTGATATGATATATGACACTTAAAAAATCTATAATTTATAATTATAATTAAATCTAAAATTACAATTTTGATAAGAAGTACATACCACGTTTTTTTAACTTTCTACCAACATTATTTATACTATATTAATTAAACTATTAATTTTTTAAGTATTAGATATTTGATATCTTCGAGATATTATTAAGTGCAAAATAAGAAGATTGAAATCAGGCATTTATGAATGGTAGAAGAATTATAAAAAAAAATATTAGGTTAAATACAAGTATAACTTCAGTCTCATTTCATTCGAAAGATAATGTATCGGTATAGTTATCATTTGAAAAATTCTACACAAGATTATTTACCGGAAATCTAGCAAACTGATGTTTCATAAAAACGAAAACTAACGAATAACACTAATTTTTCAGTAAGTTAAAGGACGTGTATCTCGGGACGAATTGTTTTGTATATAAACTATAATTCACAATATCTAAAAAAAATCTGCAAAGATTTTAAAATAAAAATTAAGCCATAAGAAATTAAAATACGAATTATATTCTACTGCAAAATAATAAATAAAAGTAATACATTAATTACATATGAATAAAAAATAATACATTAAATACATATCAATTACATATGAAAATGTTAAAGTAATTACAAGACTTTTTATTTGACATTTAACTGACATTCCGTTAAAAATAAACAAATGTCCAGATAGTAATAACATATTCAGATGTTATGAGTAGTGGCCTATGAAGATGCACGTATTTATATGTATATGCATGTATAATGATATCGGTACAATATCGTATCGGTTCTCAAAAATATCAGTATACAATTACCACTTTATTCGTGCTACCAGCAGTATCTCTGTTTTGTTGATTGATTGGTTATGTAATTTTAATCACCACTTTAGAAACCAAGCAACTAAGATCAGAGAAATACTAACATAGTGATCATTAAATGTTTATTATTAAAAATTTCTTTAAGTTAAAGCACACGTTATTGATTACTTTTTGTCTCTGAAACATTATTATAGTAATTTCCAAAATAATTTAGATTTTTATTTAAACCTTTGTTGAGGATATGACTCATTGCAAAATTTTCATAAAGTCTTTGAAATCAATATTATTAATGTCAAAAACAATATAAATTTTCTTCAAGAAGTATAATTTACTGTTATTTTACAAAATAAACATTTTACTAAATAATTTTGTATTGGACTTATGTACTTTGAACTATATTGACTTATGTACTATATATTATATCTTACAATAATTTTCAAATTCTGATTATGAACAAAATAGTTAATGCATTCGCGATTAAAAGTAGCTGCAATTATTGATATTCCTAAATTGAAAATTAATCTTAAAGGCGACAGTAGTTACGGAATATTGTGCTAATATGACTATCTCATAATATATAGTTTAATTTTGCTTTTCTAACATGTATTTAGTTCATTATTTAATTCAATTTTATTGCAGTGGGCTGTTTCGATGATTTAATAGTATTAAAATAATTTGATTTATTTGTGATTACAGTTGAAGCTTTAAATCAATGGAGACGAACGTGACTTACCGAAGGCGGTGCACTGAATTAAAAGAAGGATGATCCTGGTATGGTTGAAAGATTGAAATCAAGTTTGGTGTACCAGCCCGTCTCAAAGAATGATCGACTAATTTGGAATTAGGTGTACATTAGGTGTAAATCAGTATCACAACCGTCCCCTGCGTATCGTATAACAACAACAGCTGCACAATTTATTTATTTCATGTAAACGAAAAAATGTTTTCAGAGCGCCCTACTATTTGTAAGATATTTTTTTATTATTTTTTTACGTTGAAATAAATTATGTGAACATTTTATTTATTACATAATAATAGCTATCTCTTAGTGATGGATAATTTAATTTAATTTAAAATATAAGTTAATATTTAGAAATTTCATTAAATATTTTTCTACTGATTTTTTATTTCTAAATTATTCGCTAAGTGTATCAATGGTGATTTAAATAAAAAACTTTGAAAAAAGTGTATCGGAAAAACTGTGTTTATTGAAAATGTTATTTTAAAATCACGTATTTAAGAAAATTTTATCATTGAACATTTTTCGCAGTTCAAATGTACTTACAGGTTTAAGCTTTAAAGGTTGCTTTGCTGCCATCTGGTGTTCATAATCTAAAATAATAGATTATACCGATTTACTATACAAGTAAATTTTAAAATAAAATTTATAGAATTTTGTTTGCACAAAAAATACATGCGACAACTATTTTATTAGATGTTGACAAATTAAAATAAAGGAACTTAACAATCAATACTTTTACACATACAGAATTTGTAATAACTATAGGAAGAAACATAAATATACATACCTGAAATATGTATTACGCATAACCTAATTTTTTATTTTCTATCGATACAAGTGAATAATTACAAATGCATTAACTAAACTAAATGTAGAACTGTATGAAATTTTTCATTAAAAAAAAAGAACGTTAATATGAATCGACAACTGTTCTTTTCACGTCTTTCAAAATGAAGCGTATTTCAAAACAAAGTATCAAAAGTATTCTAATATTTTTAAGGTATCGAAAACAATATCTAATGTGATTTTCGAACATGTATTCAATTTTCAATATTACTTATACATTCAAGTTGTTCGAAACGCAAATGTATAAACGTTGCTCCGAATTTGATCATTTTTGTTGAAGAACGTTAAGCAACTTTTAAAGAAGCCTCGAGTCATGCAATCGATAATCGCGCGACGAGATATATCGAAACTCGCGAATATCTCGTCACGACAGTACTATCGCAGTTATCGATCGCTGCGAGTCGCGCAATGGTATCCTTTGATAGTAGTGGTGTTCGCACTGGGTTCTGACAAAAATTCGAGTAAAAGGGCGTGTAAAATGTACAAACGGCATAACTCGGGGACTCTCGGGTTGGCCTCGGAGATGCTTCCAAGAATAATAAGTGTTAGAGGCGTAAGGGTACCGAGGGAATATAACCGAGTGGCTTAGCCGTCGCATTACATACAGAGATGTCTGCGCCCTGAGAAAACGGACTGACGGACAGACAGACGTCTCTGTCAAGTTTTTGTGACTCCCGACGAAATGGTCATTGTAAATATCGGGAACTCTCCGGAGCGTGTTCTCTAGCTAGTGCGCGTTATTCTGTCGGGTGCGTGATACCTTGTACCAGTGCTTTGAGATGTTTTCGTCGCCGGCGTCAGTGGTGGGCGAGCCGTCAGGCTACGACTTTCAGAAAGAGGAGAACGCCGCCAAGTGGAAGGGAGTGTTTGTCAACTCCCTGCGCAAGGTATCATCTGCCTTGGTAAATTCAATCCTACCGAATTTCCAGGGGCTCTCGTTTTATCGAGTACCCGTCGAGCCAATCGGTTTGGTATTTCACGGATCCGTCATACCCATTGTCATTGTTGATTAATGTGTTACAATCTCATATGTGCTCGTTCTCAACCTAGAATCTTATCCTGTCATCATACCAATTTTATAGTACACACTCGCGACGATAACACGAGCCTCGTTTAATTTGTTGAATATGATACAATGGCACTTAACAATACATTATTGTACAGACACAAAATAAAATATAGCATGTAGCATGTTATCCTTTTAAAAGACCACCTCTGATTATCACGTATAAAACATTGTATATTTGGTGAAATAAAGAAATTGCACTCGTTTCTGTGAAATTTAATTGTTTATTTTTCATTTGAAAAAAAAAATATCTGATTCTTTATTATATGAAGTATTGTAAAGAAAGTATTTTATCTTTGTACATATGTTTTTCATATGTTTGTTCCTTCGTGTTCTTGTAGTTATTTTATTTGTCATTTATTAATAAAAGAAAAAGAATGTCAAATTGGCACCTATTGGAATATATTTATTAAGTAATGTACATTCTCTATGATATTTTGTGTTACTTATAGCAATTGGGAAAGTTTAACGAATAATTAAAATGAAATAGGTATTGGAACAAGTACATCCTAGTCTTGAAGCACGACAAGATGCTTTAGACTATGTTGAGAGTTTGATCTTAAGGCTGTTGGGTATGCTTTGTGGTCATCCTCCTCCACATACACCTCAAGATGTTGAAGAAAGGGTAAGGCGCACGTTTCCTACTCCCATTGACAGATGGGCACTTCGTGATGCAAGAGATGCTTTAGAAAAAGGGAAAAAGAAATCACCACTAGTTCTTCCAGTTGACAAAATTCATCAACTATTACAAAAAGTAATTATATTCATTTAAGTTTATTACATATATATTTGGATATATTTACCCATAGATATTACAATTTTATTTTTTTATGTTAATAGGAAGTATTACAACAGAAAATTGATTTACAAGTTAGTCTTTTTGTGGTAGGAGTTTTGGAATATATTTCTGCTGATATTTTGAAGGTTGGTAATAGTTACTGTTAATTATTAAATGTTTTATAATAATTTTATTAAGGAAAACTAGCTGATTCAATTACTTTAAATTACAATTTTATGCTGTTTATTTTTACTAATTCCTAAAAATGTTTAAGATTATTTTCTTTTCAGCTAGCTGGAAACTATGTGAAGAATATACGCCATGTGGAAATATCTTGTGAAGACATAAGAGTTGCGATGTGTGCAGATATGGTAACATATTATTTTCATTAATATTAAAATTATGTAGTTGTAAACAGTAGTTGTTTGAATATATACGTAGCATTTAGTTTACAAAGTAAAGATTATTTTTAATTAGAATTTTATCGACAGGTATTAATGGACTTATTTTATCAAGATGATTATGCGGAGGGTCCACAGAGTGGCTTAGGTGCAGTGGTTTCCCAAACTTATGAAGAATCTGTCCGGGATCTCATACATGATGAACGTCACTATTTGCGTGATCTCCATATGATCATTAAGGTAACATAATTCATAACATTTATAATTTTATTATTTATGGAAGGAAAGTAACATATTTCTTATTGCTTGAATAGGTATTTCGAGAAGAAATTGCAAAGTTAGCACAAGATAGAACTGAACTGGAAACACTCTTCAGTAATATAATGGATATTTATGAAGTCACTGTAACATTACTTGGTAGTTTAGAAGATATAATGGAAATTACAGAAGAGAAACAAACGCCTACAGTTGGCTCTTGTTTTGAAGAGCTGGCAGAAGCAGCAGAATTTGATGTTTATATAAAGTACGTATAAAATTATTTAATTTTATGTGAACACATATACGTATATATTACTTAAAATATAAATTATAACAATCATAATGTTAGGTATGCAAAAGACATTAATAGTCCAGCTAGTCGAGAAGTTTTAACAAATTTATTGTCGAGACCTGAACCTAATGCTGCATTACGAGCAGCAGGGCATGGATTTAAAGAAGCTGTAAAATATTATTTGCCAAAACTTTTATTACAACCGATATGGCATTGTTTTTTGTACTTTGATTACATAAAGGTACGTTATCATTAATCCTTTATTTATATATTACTATAATTGGTGGATACATATTGATAAATTTGATGTCATTTTATTTAGGTATTACATAAACGTACACCAAATACAGAAGATGGTGAAACTTTGGAACAAGTACAAGGTCTTTTAAGACCACTGCAGATGGAATTATTGCAATCTATGGCGAGTCTTCCAAAAAAAGATACAGGTCTACGAATGCAAAGTAGAGCAAGGCGACAAGCAGCATTAGAGAAAACTAGTGAATTACAAAAAACTGTTGATGGATGGGATCAACGAGATGTTGGACAGTGTTGCAACGAATTTATACGTGGTATGAATAAACACTGCATTATGGTTATTTTCTAATTGATATTAAATAATACATATTATAATACATGATTGTATTATGTAGTTATATTCTTATATTTTTCTTATGTACAGAGGATATGTTGGGAAAAGTAAGCAATGGAAGGAGGTTAACAGAGCGAAAGGCTCTTCTTTTTGATGGTTTATTAGTTCTTTGTAAACCTAGTGGTGGCAAAAGAGTTAGTGTTACTGTGGCAGCAGTTGGTGTAGTAGGTCATCCACCTCATCAAGGTGAATTGCGTTTAAAGGAAAGATTTTTTATTAGGAAAGTTGATATTATAGATAGAGAGGATACCGAAGGTAAGTCAGAGAAGAATATAATCTTTAGACTAAGCAGTTAGATGATATCAATTACTATATGTAATTGTATTTGTAGAATTAAAAAATGCCTTCGAAATTGCACCAAGGGACCACCCTAACGTTATTCTTGTTGCCAAATCCGTCGAAGATAAAAATAGTTGGATGGCGGATCTTGTAATGTTGAATACAAAGAGTATGTTAGAAAGAACTTTGGACAGTATCCTTTTGGATGAAGAACGAAAACATCCTTTAAGATTGCCTCCACCACACTTATATAAATTTGCCGAACAAGATGGCCCAGAAAATATTGTTTTAGAGGCCAGAGAAAATGGTGGTGTTCCATTAATTAAGGGTGCAACTTTGGTTAAATTGGTAGAAAGATTAACTTATCATATATATGCTGACCTAGCTTTTGTACGAACATTCCTTACTACTTATAGGTGTGATTTATTTATTATTTATTTGTCATTTAAGGGTTGAATTCTAACAACTGTCTTATTTTGTTATTCTTTTATAGGAGTTTTTGCTCACCTCAGGAACTATTGACTTTATTAATTGAAAGATTTGACATACCAGATCCTTCTTTAGTTTACGGTGAAGAAGAAAAGCCATCTGGTTGTAAGACAACCGCCAGAGAAGATTGGAAGAGATATAGAAAAGAATTTTGTCAACCTGTGCAATTCAGAGTTTTAAATGTTTTAAGACATTGGGTTTGTAAAACTTTAATGCTTATAATTTAACATATTTTTAGGTTAGGCTTTTGAGTATTTATATAAATCTTTCTGAAAATAGGTCGATCACCATTTTTATGATTTCGAACGTGATAGAAATCTTTTAGAAGGGTTACAAGTATTTCTAGATACAGTAAGCGGAAAGTCAATGAGAAAATGGGTAGATTCAGTGATAAAAATTGTACAGAGAAAGTGTGAACCCTCTGAACAACGACCTATAACGTTTAGTTTTGAAAGATCTCCACCACCTATTGAGTGGCATCTAAATGTTCCTGAAGAAGAGTGGGGAATATTAACGGTAAGACTCATGAGTACAATTCATATTTACAATATGGAAATAATTATATAAATAATTTTTTACAAATTTTAGTTGCATCCAATTGAATTAGCAAGGCAGTTAACGCTTTTAGAGTTTGAATTGTACAGAACTGTAAAACCCTCAGAATTGGTGGGTTCAGTATGGACTAAAAAAGATAAAGAAAAGACATCTCCAAATTTACTAAAAATGATAAAGCACACAACAAACGTAAGTCACATTCAGAATTTTATTTACATTTATGCATTAAATATTATGTATATATGTTATATATATAATTACTGTATGTTTACTTCGCAGTTTACTCGATGGCTTGAAAAAACTATAGTAGAAGCTGAAAATTTAGAGGAGCGAGCAGCAATTGTATCGCGTGCAATTGAAATTATGATGGTGCTTCAAGATCTTAATAATTTTAATGGTGTATTAGCAATTGTTAGTGCTATGGGATCTGCATCTGTGTTTAGGTTAAAATTCACATTTCAAGTATGTTTCGTCATTATTACTTATTATAGTCTTTTTACTGATGCTTCATGAAGAAATTAAAAAAAAATATTATTTCTTTTCAGCAAATTCCTGCACGATTGGAAAAAGCCCTCGAAGAAGCACGAGAATTGAATAATGATCATTTTCGAAAATATCAAGAAAAATTACGATCCATTAATCCACCTTGTGTACCATTTTTTGGTAAATAATTAGAAAAATGATTAAACGCTCATTTAAATAAATTATTGCTAATGATAATTTTTATAGGTATGTACCTGACCAACATTCTGCACATTGAAGAAGGAAATCCGGATTATCTACCGGGGAGTCCAGAACTCATAAATTTTAGCAAACGACGGAAAGTCGCGGAAATAACTGGCGAAATTCAACAATACCAAAATCAACCGTATTGTCTTTCTGTGGAGCCTAGAATAAGGCACTTTATTGAAAACTTGTCGCCTTTCGATCCTAATATGAAAGATGCAGATATAAGCAATTATTTGTATAATAAAAGCTTAGAAGTAGAACCGAGGGGATGTAGGCAACCACCTAGAGTTGTAAGTTCTACTCAAATACTTCAATCGTGCACATTTAATATCATTAATCTCACTTATGATTCCTTTTCATAGCCCCGTAAATGGCCAGATTTAAACTTAAAATCGCCGGGCATTAAAGCTAGAAGCTTAAGCGGCAAGTTACCAGCTCCACTGCAAGCTGTAGCCTCTAGTGTAAGATTACACGATCCTCCACCGGAAGCGCCACCGCCAGAATTACCGGAGACACCTCCACACACTTCACACATCACAGTTTCTCATATAGGGGACCACAGTGTCTTTGCGCCTGTTTTAATAGGTTTGTGTCCAATAACGTTGGATTTAATATAAAACTAGTAGCCTGCTTCTTTTAACTTCTTACTTTTGTAGACATGCAAAGAAACAAGTTTTATTTCGTTGCATAATATGCTTGCATAGGTAGTAGACCTACTTTACTGTTAATACAGGTCCACCTCCAGGTTCACCAGGTCCTCTAAGCATGTCAGGACTTTCAATCAGCTCGCCAGGTAGCAGCCCTCAATTGGGATCTCCTGGTCATTTACCTGTTCCTCATCATCAGCCACAAAATAGTCACTTTGGCTTTAATTCCGGTACGATCGGTGTAGTGGGAGCTATGACTGGTATGTCATCGTCGGGCGGAAGTCCTGGTGCAGCATTGCCGCCTCCACCATCTCCTAGCCACATACCCCCCAGTCAACCTCCGCCACCTTTACCGCCTAGATCTCATAGAAAACGGGAGAGTTCCATAAGCGAGTCACAGCAACAGGTAATGTATTTATCATGTGCAGTGTATACATTAAATGCATTAAACGTATAGGAGGAAACAGAAATAAACAAACTAAAATACATTTTCTATACTTCATTTTTTAAAGACTATTCGTTAATTGTATGTTTTTCTTTCTCATTGTGACACTATTTTAATTTCAGTTATTTATTATAAGATTAAACTCGAGATGATCTTCGCGTAACCTTGATGCCTTCTTATAACAAAAATTAGTTCGGTTTATCCTTTATCCTTTATCGCAATGGATATAAATATAATTTTATGTAATTTTCCAAAATTTATTTAACTGATGACACAGACAAGACAAGCTCCAAATGCACCAATACTTCCTCCAAGGGACGGTACGTCTCCGCCGCCATTGCCGCCGCGAAGAGATTTACCTCCAGTTACGTTACCGCCTCGGCTTCCTACCTTGAATCCAAGTAGTTCGGCACTACTCGCAAGGCGGAATTCCACCTTGGAAAACACGTGTTCGAGCACTGTTCATCAACGGAGACACATGTCTTTCAATGGACCCAGTCCTACGTTACTTCCGCCTACGCAACCCAATGGTAAAAATACAAATGATTGAATGTACATTCAATTAAAACAGTTTAAAATCCTTTAATTCCCTGTTATTTTGTGTTGAATTGCAGGATCGGTAACGCCAAGACTACCACCAAAACCATTGCCGGGTCGTCCGCCAACCACCATGTTCAATTTCAATGCTCCTCCTGGACCTAGTTAAGTGTTACATTTTCCTACCTCTTACCTAAATTAATACACACCTTTTGGAAATCGAGATTTAGTCCACTCAGGAGAATTAATTGAAACGTGTAAGTCTCCATAATAATAATCGATTCGACAATGTAAATCGACGCTGCTGCGTTACTTTTTTCCGCACAAGAAGACACTTTTCCGGTACGAACAGATTTGTAACTTGGTATTAATGTATTTATTGTGGTTTTTTATTCGGTACTCAAAACACGCATAATTAGGAAAAAGTACACTAAAACAGACGATTATTTTAAAGAACATGAGGTACGGCCCATGTGTGATGAGATGCTGTTACATTCCTTTCGACGATTTGTCTTTTAATGCGCGTGGCACTATTTTTATTAAAAGTTTATTTTTCGAGAGGATATAGGATGTTTTAATGCATATAGTATATTTTTAGAGATTTTTTTACGAAATGACTGTATAATAGATATAAGGCCTTATATCCCATGCAATTGAATGTAACTCGTTTCAAACTATTTATCCAGAGGAGTGTCCAAAGAGTAAGATTTGTACAGAATGCCTAAGGAACAATGTATTAACGTTTGTTGTTGAAATCTAAAATATTTTTATAAATTAACGGTACGAACAACGTTTGACAATTTTGACGTATTTCATTCTTTTTTATCGGATGTGCGATGCATAAACGTCTTTCTATGTTTTACAGTTCAAGTGAAATGTAGAATGTGCCTAGTAAACTTTGCGAGTCACGCCTAATGTATTATTGCTAAAAATACTAAGTTGTAGATGGTAATGATATTACGACACTTTCCACTGCAACTATTTCTGAGATTACCTACATAACGTTATGTTAAAAACGCGGAAGAGAAGAGAACAATTGTAAATCTCCATATTGTCTTTTGTTAACGAATATTGTACATCACGGGTGAGTCCATCTGGCGATTCATGTTCGGATCACGAATCGCACAAGATGCTGATCTCCAATACGTTAGTACAAAAGCAATACTCTCCGCAAGTGTGTGCGTTATGGTAGGACAAATCTTAGTAGATTAT